TAATCCATTAAATAACATAAGAACCTAGGGCCGGGTGCAGTGGCTCACGCCTGTAATCCCAACACTTTGGGAGGCCAAGGCAGGTGGATCACATGAAGTCAGGAGTTCAAGACCAGTCTGACCAACATGGTGAAACCCCATCTCTACTAAAAATACAAAAATTAGCTGGGCATGTTGGCGGGCACCTGTAATCCCAGCTATCAGGAGGCTGAGGCAGGACAATCGCTTGAACCTGGGAGGCGGAGGTTGCAATGAGCCGAGATTGCACCACTGCACTCCAGCATGGGCGACAGAGCAAGACCCTGTCTTTGGGACTTTCCCTTTAATATGCTAAATATTAGTGGTGCTTTTAGCGATTTGTACTATTATTGTACTCTCCAATACATAAGTGCATATATGGGGCATGTTAAAGTATACAGTACACCATTTTCAATACATGTACACATACATTGGTGGATGAAAGAATGTCTCTTAGCAGTAATGACTGGATGTAGCCTCTGGTTTTTACCAGCTGCGTACTCTAGGACTATATATAAGTAAAAATCTCCTCTGTGGGATACTGGAAAGTTTGATTAGAATGTGCAAACTGATATAGTAGCTTTCATCCTCCGTCTTAAAGGGTACCACCACACAGGAAAGTCCATTTTAAGATGTTGGTAGGATTTAACAAAGTTGGGAATGCCGCTTGGGCAAACTGTTGAATTGGGCCAACAGTTCTTCAGACCTGGCTCAGAGCTAACAAAATTGCATTTAGTATCATTAAAGGCAGCTGACAATGATGCACTTTTTGCGAGCCTTCCCAGGCACTGGAGTTTTTCTGTTAATTTGCCGCCTATCAATAAAAGATCTCATTAACAATTTATTTTTGAATTTTGCAGAAGATCTAAGAATGCAAAGTTTGTTCCATTGTCATTTTTTCTTGCTAGATTTTGACCTTGTTCCTTTCCTACAACTCTTTCATCTTCCAGTCAACACCTTATTACCAAACAAGAATCATCGGAACATCATCAGTGTCTTTAACCATCGAAGAAATCTGTTCTCTCAGGTACTTGTAAAATCGTTAAATGTGGACTTACTGGTGATGGAATAAACTAATGCAAATCCTTGTCCATTTTTCATGTACAAATCCCTCATGTGCTCGGGTAAAATTGTTTCCTTTCTATAAGAATCTTCTATCGTAGGATCATATTTTCTACAAAAATCTCCTTGAACAAACTGTACAGTCAAAGCACAGACTTTCACGCCTCCTGAGCCAAGAACGACTCAGCGTTATACTCAACGCATGATGCCCAGGCTTGTCAAAACGCCCTTAGTACCTGGGAGCGGCCGGAGGTTTGCCAGTGAGCTGAGATCAACCGCCACTGGCTCCAGCCTGGGGCAACGCAGTAGGATTCTCCCCCTCAACCACGCTGTCACCGGGTCCCGCGCAGCCAGCGTGCGCCCCGCGCTCCTCCGGGTCGCTACTCTCGGCGCACCGGCGGTCCTGAAGCCCTTGGTTTTTGAAGATAACTATCCAGGAATTGTCTGGAATAGGCTACCTCTCTGCTAATTTAATCCTATTTTAAGGTGTGGACTTCTGGCTCTCTACCGACCATGGCGTTCAGTAAAATCCTCTTCACTCTGGCCAGTGCACGGAACACCAGAATAGTCTAAGCTGTAACGTTCGTGCTCGGCGGCAAAGCCCTCCTCCATCCCCACTGTCCCTCCCAACCTCTAGGACTAAACTTCTATGAACCAACTTGTTTCTTAGATTCCTACATGAGTGAAGATCCGTGCAGTATTTTCCTTCCTGCGGTCCTGGCTTAATATTTCACCTTAAACATAATACTCCTGCCAGCGCTTCATACATTTTGCTGCAAATGCAACAGGATTTTCTTTTTCTTTTCTTCTCTTTATTTTGCTTCTTTGAACAGTCCTCACTCTGTTGTCCAGGTTGGGGAGTGCAGATGGTACAAAATCCTCAGCTCACTTTGTAACCCTCCGCCTCCTGGGTTCACGCCATATGTCTGCTTCCACGCCTGCCTGAGTAGCTGGGATTACAGGCGGTGGCCCGCACACTGGCTAGGGATTTTCTTTTTTTTTTGTAAGTCAGGGTAC